ATGTATTCACATAACTTTATTAATAAAAACTGAGGCAAGACCTCGCTTTCAAAAAAAAAAAAAAAAAAAAAAAAAAAAAAAAAAAAAATTAAATCTAAGTTTAATTAATATATATTAAATTTAATAAATATAAAATTGTAATATTACATACATTACATTTTAATCTGTATAAATTTTAAATTCAGATACTGCAATTTTTAATTAAAATGAAATTTAAATATGACATCTAATATATCAACTTTAATATGATTTTTCATTAATATTACTATCAATATGATTTAAAACCAATTTAAATAGGTTGATATTAACAAGGGTAACCTGTACTTAGAAAACTGTAATCATAATACTTTCTGGCTGTAATAAATATTACATTTATTGATTTTATTCAAATAAATAAATAAAATTAGTCTAAATTTTTTCATTTGATTTTTTGTTAATGTTATATATGCTTAATAACCCCTGTAGCTTATACACAAAAATTTTCTGACATGTGACTTTATCCAATTAAAAAAAGGGGAAAGCTACAGGTACAATATTTCACATGACTATTGTCTTATTGGCACAAAAAAATTGATTAATAAGAGCCCACATAATTTTAACGTGATTTTTAGCCAATCAGCATTGTGTAGATCTATCATCATGCATCATGTAAATTAATTGTCTACACATATAAATTGATTATCTACGTGTAATTTGTAGATCGAATATCTAAAACTTTTGCATATTATAATACTAGTATATCTTTTTATCTTTTGAATAATGAATATGAATAACTATACAAATTTAAATAGCCCAAATAATTCTTTGTATTGCAGTATTAACTTATTTAATATTTTAGCTTTAAGTAATATTAACAAGTATGAATTGGAAGAAGACCGAATTAGCTTAGAAAAGGAAAAAGATGGTACAAAAAGTGAAGGTTGGGCAGATCAATATAAGTTAAGGGTTGTAATATCTTAATACAGTATATTTTGTAATTGTTATTATTAATATTTTCTTTTATTTTTTACAAGCTATAATAATTGTTAGCCAAAATTATGATACAAAGGAGAATATTCTTAAAGTTGCTCAAAAAATGTCAAAAATTTGGAATTTGCTGTTTAACTAAAGTAGTAGTTCTCACTATCTCCACATCTAATATAAATATGATAGTCAGTTTAAGAATTGTTAGAATTTAACAATAGATAAATGGAAAAGAAATAAGATGAGTAAGTACTGTGAATGTCTCTATTTAATCAAAGCAATTTCAAATGATTCTAAGTGGTGTGTTGTAGAAATTAAAAATAAATATAATCATCCAATAGTGAAGGACATGTGAGTTTTTCATAAATACTATCAACTAATACAAGAAGTAAGACATATTGCAGTAAAAATGTTAAAAGCAGGTGCAAAGTCTAGCATAATCTATAAGGCTATTCGAAGTGAAGATGGAACTCCAACCGCAACAAGCAAAGATATATTCAACTTAAGTATATGGATTAATTCTTTAGAAGAAACAGCATCAATAACAGCATTAATAATGGGTATAGAGAAAAGAGCGTATACTGTGCGCTGTAAAACTTATAAAGAGAGGTATTTTATATTTTTATTTTATTTATTATTATTTTAGTGAACTAATAATAGTATTATTAATATAGATAGATGAATTAAGCATTTATTTTTTTGTCATATAGAGCTATTAAAAATGCCAGATGTTTTTCTGAAGTCATTTTAATCAACACAATATATAAAACTAATGTTACAAGTTGCTATTTGTAAACTTTGTCAGCATTAGTAATCTTGGGTCAATTGTTTGTATACTTTTAGTATTGCTAGCACCTGAATTTTAGACCAATCTAGAAATTATATACTTGAATTATTGAAAAGCTTTCTTAATTCATTTTTTCTAACACCTTTTCTTCAGTATTTGCTACAAACAATGACTCACCGCTTATTGGTACTCTTAGAAAAGTATTTTCCAAATTTGAACACCTTTTATGCACTTAGTATATAACGAATAATTTTAAAAAAATTTGAAAAAGTATTTAGTGACATTTCATTTGATAAAGTAATGAAGACAATAGACAAGTTCATTCATTCAAGAGATTGTGAGGCATTAAATGCTGTGATAACTACCTATAAGAAGCTGGCTTCATCACATTCCAACAAAATTGAAGTTTTAAAATATCTTGACAGATAAGTATT